CGGTGGGACAAATATACAACTCTGCATAAGAAACCAACTATTTTCACGGACAAATAATGATTCATTTTAATACGTTTCCTTTTTATAATTCAGCTGTGTTATGTTATCCACCTGCAAATTACGAAGAAATATATTATACGAATATGAAGAGACGACACAATAAAAAAGTTCTTGGAAGAACTAACTGCCTACTTCCCTTTGAGGCTACACGAACCACATATACAAGTAAAACGAAAAAAAAATAAAGGGGGATAATACACAGACACACAGGCAGCAAGGTGATCTCATAAGACTCTTTGATACGACTAGGATAGAGCACAAAAAGAAATAAATTAAGAGGGTGTAGTGACAGACATCAAGGTGATCTCATAAGCCTCCGAAACCTGATTCATGAGGAAATTAAGAGGCGATTGAACTCGGATAATGTTTGCTACCATTCAGTCCAGAATCTTTTGTCTTCTCGTTTGCTGTCTAAAAACATAAAAATTAGAATATACGAAACTATAATTTTGCCCTTGGTTCTGTATGGATGTGAAACTTGGTCTCTGACATTAAGAGAGGAACACAGACTGAGGGTGTTGAGGAGAATATTTGCACCTAAGAGAGATGAAGTGACAGGAGGTTGGAGAAAACTGCATAACGAGGAGCTTCATAACTTGTACTCTTCTCCAAGTATAATTAGAATGATCAAGTCAAGGAGGATGAGATGGACAGGTCGTGTAACACGAATGGGGGAGAAGAGTGCATATATGATATTGGTGGGAAAGTCAGATAGAAAGAGACCACTGGGAAGACAAAGGCGTAGGTGGTTGGACAATATTAAAATGGATCTTGGAGAGATAGGATGGGATGGTGTGGACTGGATCGATGTGGCTCAGGGTAAGGACCAGTGGAGGGCTCTTGTGAACACGGTAATGAACCTTCGGATTCCATAAAATGCTGGGAAGTTCTTGAGTGGCTGCAGAATTAGCAAATTAGAGATTTTAGTTGAGTCGTGAAGTTCCAGTATGACTGAACAAGAAATGACAGGTAGATTTCCTAGTGATTAATATATAAAGAGAAGTGAACTGAAAACAATTGACGAAATACTGCTGCGTAACTATAAATATTTAGGACGCTGCTTCTCCCTCAAAATTAATTACTTTTCGTGTGATATTCTTGGTGGATAGGGCGACAGGACACACGCTGACGTAAATGTAAGAAGTGAAACTGTTAAGGAATTTGGAATATGGTCACGATGGAAGACTTCTTCGGCGTTTTGCAAAAAACTAAAACTTAACTCCGTGGCTTTTAGTCCACAAGCGAACTATAACGACCTAGCGACCGCCGCTTGTCGGCAAAGTTAGTGCCAAATTTTGTGGATAGAGGGTGTCACGTGGTCAGAGCAACGAATCCCCACGGACGTTAATCTCGGTTTTCTAGACAGGAGTTGCTATTTTCTTGAAATAGCTCCTCAATTATTCTCACGAAGCTGAGTGGACCTCGTTCCAGACCCACTACTTCTAAAAAAATCTGGTAGCGCCGAGAATCGAACCGGGGAACTCTGGATCTGTAGCCAGGAACTCTGACCACTAAATCACAGAGGCGGCGTTTTGCAAAGGGGAGATAAAACCATTTTTAAGCGAGAAGACTAACTTTATGTTAACTGAATTATAAAACAAAATGATGCAGTCTCGTGACTTTGATCTTTTATTTTTAACTGATTTCCTTATATTTCTTTTCTTGTAGCACTTTTTTAAGGACGTCAGTAATTCAGACTTTATAACATTCACTGTACTTTAAAGTTTATGTCAAACATTTGCGAGAATTTTATGTTTTATTATGGAACGGAGCTCATTCTTATTGAAATAAAGTCATTATTTCAAATTTCTTAATAAGTAACACGTACGTCGAATATCGTCCATGCAACAAACAACATGAGATAAGAAAACCAACTGTGAGCGTTGCAACTTTCTGAATGTCACTTCTGTAGTCCCTGCAGACGATGTAGATAACAACGGCGTATTTCAAACATAATATAGATACGTATAGAGCTGCTGTGGTGTGTTATTAGAAACTACAATTTCCATTCCATAAGAGAATCATTCCACCATCATGTGATAATGTTATTAAAATATTTATCTTTATTTGCACAGGCGTCGATGATAACTTGAAATGACGTCTAAGGGATTATCAGTCAACTACAGCATTCTCTTGTTGCGTAACAACAAGAAACTATAATGCCACTTTTTAGGTGCATGTATCATGAAAAAAGCATCTGAAACAGCATAAAATATCCATTCATAACACATACCGTATTTACGCATGTATAGGCCGCACATTTTTTGCCAAAAATTCAAGAGGAAAACTGGGGTGCGGCTTATATTCGAAATCACACTTCATTTAAAAAAAATATATCATAATTAGTAATACAGGGTGTAATACTCCTGAAATAATATTCCAAGAAAATTATTTTTTCTATAATTTCTGTCTGAAAATTGTGCTGCGGCCTATACACGCACGCGCCCTATACATGCGTAAATACGGTACTCTGCAATCAAGAAATCATCACATAATGCTCCGATCAAATATGTTACTGTGTACAGTAACTGACATTAAATCGAAGAGTCCCAGATTTTTTCTGAACAATGGCGCTGCTATCCTGCTAATTATAATAACAATCTCTGTTTTACTTGCCACTTCGCGCTAAATTTCATCTTCTGGAAGAAGTACGTTCTCATCCGACCAACCTTCCTTGCTGTTCAAAGATCCAGATCTCGTAAAGCGTTGGCCGAAATATAATTAATCGGGTTCGAATTCTAGATGAAATGATAGATCCTCTGTATTCCAATTAGAGATAAAGAATGGAAAACTGTAAGGCTGAGAATGGCATCCATTTTAACTATGGTCAAAATTAACAATTTTCTACCTAGCGCAAAGGAACTGGCGCTACTTGTGAAGAAGACGGGGCCATGTGACCGGTTTCACGGCCTCCTCTGGGATTTTGATTGAAGGACGGTTATGCTCTCCTTTGTGTAACTTCTTACGCAACTGCTTCTGCTCAACAAAACGTAAAATATGAGTATATTGTGACCTGGAGCTCGAAAGCTGGAATAGTGAAGTCAGTTGCTAGGCAACGACTTGGTGAACACATTCCCGCAACAACGAATATGCAAACAACAATTGAGAAACTTTCGTTGCTATGCAACAGCGCCGTGAACACGCCTTCCAAACAATAGAGAGGCTGCTTTTCTGCATGGTCAGTATAAAATGGTTATAAATAGAATGTCAATTGAGAGGAATTGAGTCGAGTTGCGAGACCCCAGTCTTCCAGGATATGAGTTTGAGAGCACGGGAATTTGCAGTTGTATAGTGAGAAGAAAGGAATTATGAAAAGAAGACTTCATGTGTGATTTGAAGTTACAGTGAGACGCTTGTAAACCCGTTGCCAGGATACGACAAGTGAAGACTGAGAATCCTAGTGTGTGTGTAACGGTGAACTATAAAGTGTGCAGATGAGCGATAGCGTTGTACTAACTATTGTCCCGAGTTCTGTGTATAAGGTGTCAATAAATCCATTCCGCTGTGAGAGCCTCAGATCTTACGCAGGTATAAATTGGTTAATGCAGGTGCTTAGACTAGTAAAGAATAAATAAGGAAAAGTTATCCCCGTAGCCCGTAGAGGGGTTGTGAGACGTCGAGGATCCCACATTCTCTGAACAATCGGCTCAAAATTGGCGGTGAGATTGTCAGCCTTACTCGCTGGCCGCACCTTCACCCCTTCTGGTACCCATTTCTGTTAGCGGCTGAGTCGATCCCGGGGCCATAGAGTGACTGGAAAGATTATATCAACTGAAAAACATTCAATGACCTCATCGGGAACCGAACCAGCAACCTTTCGGCTTGTAACATAGTGCTTCAAACAACTGTGCTATGGCATGAATTCATTAAATTAAATTAGAGACAGAAAATTTTTGATTTGATAACTCCTTTGTAAGAATTGTGCAGATTATGTGCTGAATTAAATAAGGGTTATGGCCGCGCCATAGCTCAAACGGTTAGTCGCTGGCTTCCCACCGCGGCGGCCCGGGTTCGATCCAGGGTCTGGTCAAGTGGGATTTGTGGTCGACAAAGTGGCGCTGGGGCGGGTTTTCTCCGAATACTTCGATTTCCCCTGCCAATCTTCATTCCACCAAATTCTCCATCATCATAATCACCCGGGGGCAGGCTACAATAATACAATCAGTGGCCGCCGTGCCGAGTGGACCCAGTTGGACTCCACCTCCACTAAGCGAATTTAAAAAAAAATTAAATAAAGGTTGACTGTGAATAATATTTTCAAAAATATAATATATTCTTAGAATTAAAATATGTGTGTGTTTTAATTATTAAAGTACCGTTGCTGTTCTTAATATTAAGCATAATAACAGGTTATTTACACAAATCGAAGAACCTCTCTTTTCTTAAACTACGATTGGATATGTACTACAAAACATAAGGAATGTTTGAAGGAAACAGTGACAGCAAAACTAGGGATATAGTCTCTACAAACGTAGGTAAAAGTCTAAGTAGATTGTTCTAAGAAATATATTGATGATGAAAATAATAAATCAATGCAATTTATTTATTAGTAAAATAATAATAACAAAAAATAGAGCTGCCCTTGTAACCGGCCATGGAGGCTCATAGGGTTGTGAGACGTCGAGATTCCCACATTTTTCTATACAATCGGCTCGCAGATGGCGGTGAGTTTGTCAATTAGGAAGTTCCCTGGTACTCATTACTATCAGAGGCTGAGTCGACCCCAGGGCCACAGTTCAGAGTGTAACAATAAAAATGTCATTATTTGCATCAGTGAGTAAGTTACATTCACCAGTCAGAATCATTTCCCTAATCTAATGGTTGTCACAAAAAAAATTTGGATGCCTCATATGCAGCTTGACCTATGCAGCTTATCAGCTCTTTAGATACATGAATTTGTAACTGCACACTAGATGACAACATGAAGATATAGAGGCGTTTTTTCTTCTGTGGCTTCAGTCAGTGTAGAAAGGCCGACGTCTTAGTTTACACGACTGCGCGGCAGTCCTTGTTAGGACCAGCTGAAATAACACAGAATCTCTTTATCTCAAATAACATTCTGTAAATTATTTAAACTTGATAAGGACATTTTCTTTCCTTCAAAAATGTCACTCTCAATCTACTCATTATTAATTAATATTGTAGCAATTTTCGTGATCTTTTTTACCTTGTTGTACTTATACTTCACGCGAAATTTCGATTTTTGGAAGAAACGCAGTGTCCCATATGCAAAACCCTTACCTTTTGTGGGTAATCTTAAAGGGGCGATCCTTCAGACTGTGGATATCGGTCAGAATCTTAAGCAGCTCTACGATGAACACAAGGCCAAGCCGTGTGTCGGATTCTTTTCGTTCGACCAGCCTTCCTTGCTCATTATTGACCCCGATCTCGTGAAGTATATATTGGTGAAGGATGCGAAAAATTTCATCAACAGAGTTCAAACTGCGGATGAAAAGACGGACCCTCTGACAGCCAAGGCTGTGTTTGCGCTTAAGGATAAAAAATGGAGACATATAAGGCTAGGAATGACACCCATTTTCACTACGGGAAAGATGAAGAAGATGTTCTATCTGGTAGAAAAATGCGCAAAGGAACTGACTCTTCAAGTGGACAAGAAGATAAGGACGGATGGTGAGTCCTGTGGCCTTCTGTGACATTTTTATATTTTAAATCCATTTTAAGGCAAACTGCATGTATTTAAATTCCATGTATATTATTTTTTTAATTCGCTTAACGGGGTGTCGAGTCCAACTTGGTCCACTCGGCACGGCGGCCTCTGATTGGCCTATTGTAGCCTGCCCCGGGTGATTATGATGATGGAGAATTTGGTGGAATGAAGAATGGCAGGGGAAATCGAAGTACTCCGAGAAAACCCGCTCCAGCGCCACTTTGGCCACCACAAATCACACTTGACCAAACCCGGGATCGAACCTGGGCCGCCGTGGTGGGAAGCCAGCGACTAACCGCTTGAGCTATGACGCGGCCTAAATTCCATATTGCATTTTGAAAAAAGCCATTAAACCACTTAAATCTCCCCGGAACCTCGGAACTCAACTAAAGCTCTCTCAACTGGAAGCGGACTCGCGTCATATAGTCGCGGGCATGGATAAAGCAGAAAACACACTTCTATTGTTGCGTGGCGCAGACAACACAGAAAACACAACTCACGTGATAGCTACCCAGATAGTTCATTGGCACGCTGTCAACTACCTAGCAACGAGCTACAACATTCGTCCATTAGGACACAGTTTTCACCGTTGCGCTTTGGACCATATTTACGGAGCCGTTGCCTGGCAATGAGTTGATCAAATCCGTTAAAATGTTCATGTATAGAAGAATGAGATACCGTATTTACGCATGTATAGGCCGCGTGCGTGTATAGGCCGCAGCACAATTTTCAGACAGAAATTATAGAAAAAATAATTTTCTTGGAATATTATTTCAGGAGTATTACACCCTGTATTACTAATTATGAATATAATTTTTTTTAAATGAAGTGTGATTTCGAATATTTCGAATATAAGCCGCACCCCAGTTTTCCTCTTGAATTTTTGGCAAAAAATGTGCGGCCTATACATGCGTAAATACGGTATATATTTTGTGCCTCTACATTTTATGCTCAAGTATTAGGGTTTTCAAGGCAATTAAAACAGTTCTGTGTGTACTGAGGGAGTTCATGAAGAAATTTCATAGAAAATCCAAGCCTTTAAAACGCAATCCTGTTTCAAATTTCGTCATGTTATAACGTTATTTCACGAACCAGAATCAATAGGAGAGGAACTATCACATTTAATACGACATTAACATTTTGCATAGTACTTACAATTATTTTATCTCTATTTTAGTTTAAGTATGTTCAAAAAAATGTTTCTAGAAACCTAGAACACACATATTGACATTTGTAAGATTTGAGGCTTTCACGGCGGTGACTATGAAGAAAGCAGTCTTCTGGGATTTTGCACCGTGTATATGTGGTGTTAACCGACGTTTAGGAAGGACGTATCGCCTCNCATTTGTTTGAATAAGAAATCAAGTTTCCGTTTCTTCTCGACAGAATGTCGTCTAGAAGTCAAAGACTGGATGGCCAGGTACACCACTGACGTCATATCGTCCTGCGCCTTTGGAATCGAGAGTAACACACTCGTGAACCCTGACGGGAAATTCCGCAGTTACTTGCGCAGGTTCACGACTTACACAACTCTGAAGTCATTCGCCACCCTGGCCATATCCTTCGCGCCCAAATTTCAGTCTCTCTTCAAGCTGAAGATTTTGGATGATGATATTGTGACATTTATGAGGAACACAGTATGGAGTACGGTGCGATACAGGTGAGTCTACATCGCTTCTTGGCACAGTCCTAAGTATTGTTCAGCTGAGTCTGAATCACAAGTGACACGATTGTGACGTAAGAGTATCTATGACTCAAGATTTGAAGTTCAGCCTGTGAAGAGAAGATTTAGTTTGTGATTTGAAGACTTTAAGTGTGGTGTAGTTACACTGAGACTGTTAAAAAGAAGTAAAGCTATCTCTGTACCAGGCCGTGATGGCCCATAGGGTTGTGAAACGTTGAGGGTCCAACATTATCTAGACAATCGGCTCAAAGATGGCGGTAAGGTTGTCAGCCTTACGCACCGGCCGCGCTTTACTCCCAGGAAAATTATTTAATTAATTCCTGGTACTCATTTCTGTTAGAGGCTGAGTCAACCCCAGGGCCATAGTGCGGCTGGAAGGATTAGGTCAATTGAAAAAAAAAATCCAATGACCTCATCGGGACTTGAACTCGCCACCTTCCGGCTTGTAGCATAATGCCTCAACCAACTACGCTACCGCGTGCCCCCCCTTCTCCATGTATAATTAGAATAATCAAGTCAAGGTGGATGAGATGGATATGGCATGTAGCATGAATGGGGGAGGAGCGAAATGCATTAGGATATTGGTGGGAAAGCCAGATGGAAAGAGAACAAGGCGTAGGTGGGTGGACAATATTAAAATGGATCTTAGAGAGATAGAATGGGATGGCATGGATTCAATTGATCTGGCTCAGGATAGGGACCAGTGGAGGACTCTTGTGAACACGGTAATGAACCTTCGAGTTCTACAAAATCCTAGGAAGTAGCTGCACAATTGGCGGCTTCTTTAAGGACTCGGCTGCATAAGTGAGTGAGTGTTATAATTACTTGTAGTTACGAGTTGAGTATATAAGTGTTCAGTAAATCCGATAACCAATCCAAACCTCGTCTATAGTCACACGCCTAACACGTAACAATACCAAACATAACTTTCGCAATAAGTATTTCTTTATAGGGGTGAAAACTAACGCTCTCGTATACGGGAGCTCTGTTATAATAGTGGCCATGAAAATGGCTGTTGATGGTTAGCGTGGTTTCCCCAAAGCCTACAGGAAATTCTATTCGGTATTTTTTTAATCAGAGTCAAGTATTTTGATCCACATAGTGTCAAGTTCATACTGTTTAAATTTTACATATTTAATGCTGTTTCTCTCTGTTCTTATCCCCATAAAAGATTAATTGCCTTGAAAAGTACTGCCTCCTGGGATGCGACGCCGTGTAGTCTGGTATAACTTCACAGAATTTCGAAGGAATGTTTAAGCATTCATGAGACTGTACGGCGTCACACCTGATAACATAGTACTCCCCATAATCACCACTATTAAAACTATAAACTTCAAATATCTTACAGTTGAACGTATATTTTTGGAATCAAAGTAATTTCCAATCAGCTACAACATTTCTACTACAGCCTAGATTAGAATTCAGGCATTTAATATTTTCACGTGTTAGAGTGTTTATCCACGGTGTTTTGGATTGGAGACTGGATTTATTAACAGCTCGCAGATCGTAACTAGTACAAGTAACTATAACACTATCGCTAATTTTCACAATTTACAATTCACTACAGCACTTGAACTTGTTCAATTTACGTACGTTATGACAAATCACTTCAAAGTTGAGATTTATTTATGTTGATTAAAATGTTAAATTATTTTGTTTATATTATTAGCCAAGTTATATTGAACGGATAATTATTTCGCTTCGGGTCCTAATTACGAAAGGCGATAAGATACGTTTCAGTGAAATAACACAATTAAACAAAATAATTATTAGTTTAGTGCGGCAGACAATCGCAATGCAAACACCGATTGACAGCAATCCCTGACCCTGGAATATCCGAAATAAAGTGCGTGCAGACACAGCCTCGTTCTAGGGATATACAGAAAGGCTCAAAAGTCAATTAACTGGTTAATAAATTGCAATCCGAAATACTTGAGAAAATTCTTCATTTTTCACTGAATTTACAAAAGTTGTTCCAAATGAGGGCCCCCATGTCCAACGCGCAACTTACAACGCTTTAATACCTTTCTGAAAATTGAATGGATTAACTTCCTCGGTGTAAATATTTTCAAATGCTATTTAGATTAACTGCTTTTGGACTACTCTGTATTCCTTCAAGGTATCGAGCTTAGGGCAAAATAAATAAGAATCCAACTTAAGGACAGGTCAAACCTATTATCTGAATATTTGTCACAAATTGGTCAAGATGTTCTACAAAATTTAAACTAACTAGGAATTCTCATACAAGTTCTAAGGGACAGAACAAAAATTTGTGGCACTTTCAAAACTTCTCATGTTCGTTGGGAGGTATATGGATATTGAACCTGTGACTTAATTTCTGCAGGAAATCCTGACGTTCTATCATCATGACTGCCGCACTCGTAGTTTGATCCAAGATGTCTACTGTTCACAAGGAAAACATGTTCTTAAAAAGGCAGGGGGACAAACTGTTTTCTGTACTTTAGACAACCTCTGAATCTTGTTAAGTTTCACCATCTAGCGCTTGGCTTCTCATAGAGCTTTATGAGTCTTTTGAAAATAAAAAAATGAGATTTTAGTTCCTTTGATTTGAATTACTGTGTGGGCTTTAATCCAAGAACTTTGGAACTTCGAGGCGACCTCAGAGAAATTTAACATAGAAAGAATTTGTAATAAGCAAAACTTAAGAAAACCTAAATTTATCCTTGTGCTTAACTAAGTAAGCACCACGCCATGAAGACGCATGGGGGAGTGGATTTATAGCCGCGCGTTTTTTTTTTTGGCACTAGTTGGAGGTGAGTGATCAGCTTCATGATCCGGCCGCTTTACCTCTGGAGAAAGAGCCCCGGTACCCAATGTATAGGAGGCTGGGTGAACCCCAGAGTCGGTCTAGATGGCTTGGAGGAGTGAAAATTTTTGACCCCACAGGGACTTGAACACCGACTCCTCGGTTTCCAGCCTGCAGTCAGTCGCTATACCGAATGCGCTATCCAGGCTCTCAGCGTAATTGGTTGAGGCACTATGCTACGGGTTTGAGTGCCGATGAGGTGTATATTTTTCGATTTACCTAATCCTTTCAGCAGCACTATGGCCATAGGGTCAACTCAGCCTCTAACGGAAATGATTACCAGGAATCTTCCGGGGGGGGGGGGGGGAAAAGCTGCAAAGCTTACCGCCATCTGTGAGCCAACTGTCTAGTNGCCGATCGTCTAGACAAAATGTGGGAGCCTCGACGTCTCATAATCCTATGGTCCTTCACGGCCTATTATATGGATTTATAATATCTAATAAAATTAAATGTGTAGAATCAGAAATTTATGCAATAGGAGAAGAGGCTTTATGAGGTCTACTCGGTACAGCATGTTTAGAAATGTCTGAGGTGAGTGTTGAAACTTGCCTGTGTCGTTCACACTACATGTTCCCAAGGTTTGAACATTTATTTTTAGTTTTATTAATTAAACTAGACGATAGGTGAGTGATGCAATTACGAACTTCGCACCAAATTTAATGAAAATAAAATTATTTGGTCCTTCTTGCTCGTGGGAAAGAGAAGACGCCCACAGACGCACAAATAACCCCAGACTGTTAATTACAGGGAGGCGAATAACGTGGATCGCAAGGACTTCCTGGACAACATGATGGAACTGAGGAAAAAAGGACAAGATTCGAACGAGGATAATATTGCCCTCAGTAAGTAGTTTCATTTACATGTATTTACAGCTAACTAACTAACTTCGTGGACCTGAGCCCTTCTTGAGAAGTCCCCAGTTGTGCTGCTACTCAAGAAATCCCAAGCATTTTCTGGAATTCGATGGTTTATTACCGTGTTCACAACAGCCCGACACTGGTCCCTATCCTGAGCCAGATCGATCCAGTCCATATCACCCCATCTTATTTCTCTTAAGATCCAGTTTAATATTATACACCCATCTACTTCTTGGTCTTCCTAGTGGTATCTTTCCTTCTGGTTTTCCCACCAATATCCCATATAGATTCATCTTCTCTCCATTCGTGCTACATTCCCTGCCCATCTCATTCTCCTTGACTTGGTTATTCTAATTACACTGGCGAAGAGTACAATTTATGAAGCTCCGCATTATGCAGTTTTCTAGAGGCCTCCGTAGTCTAGAGGTAACGTTCCCACCTCATGACTCGTAGTACGTGGGTTCAAATACCCGGCGGAGGTCGTCGAATTTTTAAGGGCGGAAAAATTCAGGGAACAAGTCCTCCGGGAGGGACTTTAAGCCGTGGGTCCCGTGTCGTAGCTTTACGGCACGTAAAAGAACCTCATATCTCCAAAGGAGGTCACTGAGCCAAATTACGAACGTTTGCCGCCCAACAGCAGCCAGTAATACCTCTGGTAGATGGGGAAAGCATTATAGATACCTCTCAGCTAGTAGAGCCGGTCTCGCTGGCTGGGCGGGACTGATGGTAAGCACCAGTACCGGTAGGATATAGAGGCTGGTAGAAATCATAGAGGGAAGCACAATGGACCAATACAGGTCTCAGTGCATGGGGAAACCCACCCTCTCCAATAACTAACTATGCAGTTTTCTCCAATCCCCCGTCACTTCATCTCTCTTCAGTCCAAATATTTTCCCCAGCGCCCTGTTCTCGAGACCAAGTTTCATGCTTATTCTGTTGGATCCGTCGGAAAGATCCAAACTAAAACACAAGTCCTGTGATTGAGGTTAGCCTTTGTAACGGACCCAGCAGAGTAGGTGTCTCCCACCCTCACCTGAGGACGGAAAAAGATCCAGTTTCAGTAACATTTTGTTCTTTAGTGTTTTTTAAAATACCGGACGATTGACAAACCCCAAAAATCCCATTAGCCCCTAGTATTACATATCACCTTCAGAACCCTTTATAATCTGCATATCCTAAAATGATTATGAAGACATTAATTATGACATTATTTTTTTGGTGTTTTTGAATTGTTTGTGATCTGAGTTCTGAAGTCGCTCGGTACCTCCCCCCCTCCCACCTTACCCAACGGTGGTGTGGGTTGTGCGAATTTCTTTCTCTCACTTTTCTCCACTTCCGTCTTCAGAACCCAGAAGACCAGCACATCCTTTGCTGCTATTCACATTGTGCTTGTTATTGATTTTGCGTTCGTAAGTGAGATAGAACCGTGACTGAAGGCCATAAAACAACACGTAAAACAATTATTTTATTCGTCCTCCTACTAATCATTGGTATTTGATAAGAAAATACTGCCTACAAAATTGGTCCAGAAATTATTTTAGTCCAAGGCCATCTTTATCTGAATGAAAAGTCTGAGGCCTTCTAAAGTATAGAATGTGTAGTAAAAAGACGAAGAAAATATTAATAATGTATCCCACCGGTATCCCTGAAGTTGTTATGTTTTATCTTATGCTTTTAATTTAACTTTACATTTTATTCTGAATTTTATTTACCATAATTTGAGTCCACACAAAGTTATACGGACCCCTGGGGGGGGGGCGTCTCACAGTTCGAAATACTGTTAAGCCACTAATTGACCTATATTTTGGCACATGAGAAATAGTTTTGAACCATCACAAACGAAATCTATGCATGGGAAAAATATATCCTTCCTCCAGCACAGTACNACGGTGACGACTTTGTTGCTCAGTCCTATGCCTTCTTCCTGGCGGGATTCGAGACCTCTGCAACCACGATGTCCTTTGCTCTTTACGAATTATCTCTACAGCCGGCTATTCAGCAGAAACTGAGGACGGAGATCACTACGGTGCTAGGGAAACATGATCAGCAACTGACATACGTAGCAATGCAGGAGATGTCATATCTCCAAAAAGTGATATTTGGTGAGTATCGAACTACTTGAATTAGATTGCAGGGTTATGTACAGCAAGCCAGAACTATGCTGCACTTGTCTGTATTACAGAGACGCTGAGGAAGTATCCTATCGTCCCGTACTTGGATCGGATGTGTATCAGCGATTACGAACTTCCGGTTTCCTCTGATGACAATAAGGTTACGATACCTGGGCAAACTGGAGTCTATATTCCTGTGTATGGTATTCATCATGACCCTCAATATTATCCGGAACCGGAAAAATTCGACCCAGAGCGCTTTACGGAGGAAAATATTAACAACAGACCTCAGTTCACCTACCTTCCCTTTGGAGAGGGACCAAGGGTCTGTCTAGGTGAGTTCCACAATCTAAAGAGAGATACGTTTTGTTTCATTTGAGGTTATGACGGATGTGATTATGAAGAATGTAACGCCATGTAGTTGGGCCAGACCGGCGGTTCGGATGAAAATATCGCCTCAGTCTTCAGAGTCGAAGTGTAAGAAAAGCAAAAAATTAGGAGAAACAGTTGGAAAACAGTCCGTTACTTTTCTCGGAAAGTCGGGCTCTCACTGAACAACACGACGTTATTCTTGCTCACAGAATATTTGCGAGCAATTCTGTCATACAGACATAGAAGTGTCCATTGTGACTATCTCTATTCCGCGTGAAGTAGATAATCCCTTGGCAATACACAGTTGCTTTCTTCCGACTGTTACAGGTATGCGATTCGGGTTGATGCAGGTGAAGACAGGCTTGATCAACCTCCTGTCACGCTTCGAAGTGGCACCTTGCAGAGACACTCCCGTGCCCTTGCAACTAGATCCCAAACCCTTCCTTATGCAGTCACAGGGCCAGATACCTCTCATATTCAAGAGGGTCAAAGTGCTGAACTGATAGTAAATGTACTACACTGATAGGTTTCTTTTGTGAATTTTCTAGCCTCCGTGTTGCCTCTTGAAGGAAGCTCACTGCAGACCTATAGAAAATGTGATATCTATCATTTCTTCAAAATTGAAGGACAGGAATAGAATAAAGAGAATAAAAAATTGGGTCATAACCTAAGGAGGGTAACGGTAATGAAAGTTACCGTCTTCTAACAACCAAGATGGTTAATTTTCCCAATATTTGTTTAAAGAAAATTTTATTGAAAAAAATAGAATTGCTAATTTAATATGGCAGTCTAATCTTACGATCCTGTCGACCAAAATATAAGTTGCCGAACTCCCGAAAACGTACGAAAATATATATCTCAGAAGACAGAAATTCAAATACCACAAATGTCTTAGCAATGCACTGAGAGTTTTTTTTTTACTTCTTACGAATACATGGGTTTATTCCTGTTATTCTTCAAGGTTATTCTTAAAATGGAATGTACTGAAGTAATTAAATAATTTTTTTTATTTATAAATATTATGGGTACACTGTCTTGAAACCGAAGTGTCTCCACACTATACTTAAGTAATAAGTACCTTCATTACGACAAACTTACGAACGTATATCCATGTTAATTAATTTTCTATATACGGGGTGTGCCACCGGATACTAATCGCTTGACGCACTGGTCACCAAGAAGCGGAAGAAAAGCGGACGCAGATGGCGCTTCCAGGATGAAACCGGCCGTGATCGTCTGGTAAACAGATCAATGGCGAAGAGTGGAAGAAAACAGGAGAAAGAAAAGAAAGCTGGGAAATGTAAATTTTCTCAATACATTCTTTGATATTTTATACTTTACACTTCCTTATGTTCACTCATTTTAGATACAGATTTTCCACCAATATTATTATTATTTATTTGACTGCAAATGGGGTTTTACCCGTAATGAACATTAGAGTTTCATAATAGATAAGAAAATTAGTTTTGTTGTCGAAGGGCCATTGCCTTGCTAAGAATGACTCTGCTCCGCGGACTTAGTTGGTAATTATTGTCACGTGTGTGAGTGATTATAGACGGTTTCTTGACTGGGAATTGGACTTACTGGACACTTTGATACAGCGCGTGATACACTTCACAATTCACTATCAAAAACACTACTGCTTAAAGACACATCTTCACTGCCGTTGCTTGGCAGCGGCTTGAAACTGTGGACGTTCCCCTTCCTGTGTGTTCCCGAACTGTCCCCGGCCTAAGCTGCCACCTTCTAACAGCAACAGCTCACTACAACTGAACTTCAGCAGTCCTCTGACTGATTCACTAACTCAACACACTCTCACTAATTGTCCTGCTTATAATATCTCGGAACGGACCACACAGAAAACGCTGCTCCATTTTTGTTGTATCCAGTTGTTTTCTTGGAAACATGCTTGTTTTCGAAGCCGAAGTAATGGTTGTTCGATAATCTCGCGGTCATTGCCCAGCAGTGGGTCTACATGCTACAATACGTTACTAATCAGACCATCGACTATATATAAAATGTATGAAATTTCTGCAAAAGCCGCAGCTAGGAAGCATGACATAAAAATTCTTCCTGAGACGAACTTACTCTTGCATAACTAGCGAAGTTCCCATTTTATTTCTGTGGAGCCTGACGCTCATGTAAATATGAGTCACATTTACGAAACGTAGTTCTTACTTCGCAGAAAGCACATCGAGTCTCCATTATGAGATCTATAGATTAATTTTGTTTATGGAAATAATCATTATTTTGACTCAAAATCAGACGAAAGCCAGAATACATTCTGTAGGTAAAATGCAGAGATTTCAATGCTAAAGCAGATGGTACAGTACATACAGTCATATACACCGTTCATTCAATCGGTCCGCCTTGCAGTGCCAGCAACTTCTCTGACAGTCACGTCAAGCAGATTAGGCTATACAGCGACTCTCGGGCGTAACGAAACGTACTGAAAGAGCACTTGACTAGCAGAGCAAAAAGGAAATACACAGCATCGATTTCGTTAGTCACAAGATATCTGCATATAGGCGTATTATTAGACCCCTGTTCTCTCATCAGAATCAGAAGGCTGGACGCACTATTTTTTTCTTCTTGCTCTCAATTTGGAGCATAGGGCTGATTTCTCAGTGTCATGAAAATTTCACAGACGGTAGGACTCCTTAGACGGGCGATTAGCTCGTCGCAAGGCCTCTACCTAAACACAGAATAAACGCATATACGCACCGAACATCCATGCCTTGTGTGGGATTGAACTCGCCTTCAGTATTATTAATTTGACAGAACATTGTATAGCAGCCTATATCCCAAAATATTCTTCTCATGGAAACAAGACTATATGAGAAAGCAACACTTATTTCCATTTTAATTACAAACAAACCATGGTCAAAAATTCGCATTTAGTACTATTCAACGTTTTGAGTTAGCACGCAATGTGTAATAGCTGAAGAGACAAGCTTGGTAAATGCTTCTCACATTAGAACGCAGGTATAAACCATGAAGTCAGAGCCTGAGGAAGTTTTGCAGGTCCGTTATTAACGCAATTAGCAGGAATAAAATTGTTCCCAGAGGACATTGACCTCAGTAAAAAGAACATTAAATCTTACTTGTCATGGAAATCATTCTAAACCCTTATTTAATAAATTAATACTGTCATGTGTATTAGTGACTATAGACAGTTTGGTTTGGTGAATAGATTTATTGATCACTTACAGGTCCTAACTACAAATAACTATGAGGCTGTTGCTATTTCCACACTACAAATCACTCCACGGTAAGTGGACAAAGTGGCACTGGAGCAGGTGTTTTTTGAGAATTTCGGCTTCCCCTGACAAACTTCATTCCACCAATTGCACCATAAATACCATTATCTCTCATCTGAAGTTGGTACAATAGGTCAGTGATGGCCACGGCACCAAGTGGACTCAGTCTCACCCCCACTAAGAATAAAAATAGTGTATAGAAAGGATGTATGATTTTCATTAAATTTCACAAAGAGATCCGCATTATAATATTCTGCAGTGTAATCACTTGGCTAATGCGCTTGGAATTCAGATGATTATAAATGCTTTTATATGGAAGATTGAAGTTCTTTGGAATCTTAACTGTTTATGCTCCGTTAGCAGGAAGTATTATTAATAACTTCAAGAATTCGAAGCTAGCTTGGCACGTGCTCTGAATTATGGCAGCAAACAAATTACTCCAGGCTCGACCACATTTGCGTATTCAGACAACTCATTCAGTAGTTACGTTTGTCACGGTACAGACCACACAAATTCATTGCTTTAAAAATAGAACCGTTACGAAAGCAAAAAACTGTCACGTGTCCGGATATCCGTTATAAACAGGGCCCGGATTTTGATGACATGTCATCTTTTTTTCCTTGCATCCTATGCGATGCTCTTAAATATATAAATCTCGGATATGAGCTGCTGGTTACAGAAATGTAAATTTTATAGGTCATTTTTTGACATTTTTAGGTTTAAGGTAATTTTTTCATTTTGAGGGTAATTTTTTGGTATATTTTTGGACTTTTAAGGGTATTTCTTGTCATTTTTGGCAATTTTAGGGAATTTATCTTCATATGTTTTCTGAAATGCTAATAATATGGAAGCGAAGTGTTCTTTCTCTTTCTCCTTTAGGTCATTTTTCTGGATTTTTTCGGTCATTTTATAGGTCATTTTTTAAATATTTTCAGGTCATCAAAATCCGGGCCCTGCATATTACATTTTTGGGACATATTTTAGGTCATTTTTCTGGATTTTTTCGGTCATTTTATAGGTCATTTTTAAAATATTTTCAGGTCATCAAAATCCGGGCCCTGGTTATAAATAATTACGGATTACAGATTTGACGGAGCTGTTTTATTGGATAAGTACGCCATGCGGAACTACAGATAATTATCACACGCGATAATTATAACATGTCGTAACTGCGAACAATAGGCACACACTAATGTTCCTTGTAACTACGCCACATGAAGACTTCTGTCGGTTCTCCTTTTGCTAATCACTGATCTGGTCTGTGTCCTGGTCCTCTCCTATATCGACGTCTTCCTCTCGAAACTTCTCGAACAGTGCTCACTGCTCCCTATATAGGCTCGGCACGGACCTCCATAGAAAACATATCGCTGCTTAGCAACGGATATTATATACTGTTGTCAGACGTGTTCACCCATGCGTTGCCTAATAACGGACACCCTATTACTGATAGTAATACTTTTCAGCCCTAATGACGGAGGAGATTATTTCTTCCGAAACTTCGGCGGAATTCCATCCAAGTACATGGCTTTACAACCCAGGAAATTTTACTTTTCATGATCATCGCTGTGAGAACCTCAGCTCCAACATAGATCTTCCGGACCTCGGGTTCCTCAAGTGTACTTACATCTGTGAATAGTCCAAGGAATTCAATGCTGATCCACATTAGGCAACTGAACCATAGGGATTATCACTACGATAGGGAATACATTCACTCTATGAGTGACAGTTTCAGTTTCTGCAGTACAAAACCGCCATTTTAGTTGTCAGAACCGGCCAGAACTGTTCTTCTTTGATGGGCAAATGCTAAGTATAGAAGGCAACTAACAGCACCAAATACGGGGGGAATTCCCTCCAAATAATTCTTGACTATCTAGTTCGGAAAAAGTGCCGGTAGATGTCGCATGCTGTCAGACTGGCTTCTAGCAATGTTTGTAAACGCCGGCTATTGTAAGGTAAAAAAGGTCACTAAGACGCGACTATACTGAAACTGTTTTCTATGTATCTGTGGCTATACTGTCCTTTTGTTTTTGTTGTTGTTGTTGTTGTTGTTGTTGTTGTTGGACCGGCAATTTCTTAACCCTATACACAGTCTGTAGGAGCATGCGGTAGCGTAGTTGGTTGAGGCACTATGCTACAAGCCGGAAGGTCGCAGGTTCAAGTCCCTATGAGGTCATTGGATTTTTTCAATTTACCTAATCCTTCCAGCCACACTATGGCCCTGGGGTCGGCTCAACCTCTAACAGAAATGAGAACCAGGAGTAAAGGGCGGCCGGCGCATAGGGTTGACAACCTTGCCGATATTTATGAGCCGATTGTCTAGGAAATGTGGGAGCCTCAACATCTCACAACCCTATTGGCCTCCAAGGCCTGTTACAGGGATGCTTTTACTTTACTTTATACACAGTCGGTAGCACTCCTTGGACGGGGGATCAGCCAGTCGCAAGGCCATTACTTACACACAGAACAACACAAACTCAGAATCAACGCACACATACATTCATGCCTTGAGTGGGATTCGAACTCACAATCCCAGCTTTCGAGCGAGCGAAAACAGTTCATACCCTAGACCGAGCGGCCACTGTGATCGGCACTGAAAATGTTATACGCACTGTAATTATTTCATATATAATTCGCCTCTTCATGATATAATGACGCTTATAACACAATCTACATTAATATAACTGAAATCTCAGAACGCCTAAATTGTTCTGATCACGACCGGAGTTTGCCTGCATCCAGTGATACTGCGTCCACTACACGATGCTACTGAAAGTTATAGTATATCACAATGGTCCCCAGTTTCACCTTTTGCCAGAGACATTGAAATACAAGCCAGGACATGATGTCGTGACTTTTTTTTTCCTTGGCACTACAGCCCCAGTGGGCCTAGGCCTACCGCCATGAACTCCGTTCATTTCGGTTTTTCTAGAACTTACACATACGGTAGGACTCCTTGGGCGAGTGATGAGCTCGTCGCAAGGCCTCTACATGTACACAAACACAGAAAAAGGCGCACACACAAACTAAACACCCATGCCCTGAGTGGGATTCGAACCCACGATCCCGGCTTCCGAGCGAGCGAAGACAGTGCATGCCTTAGACCGCTCGGCTACCGTGACCGGCGTCGTGACTCTTAGTTCTTAGTTTTCTTCGGTTCTTGCCAAAGATTCATGGCCGGATATTAGAATAGGCCATGATAATTTCCCCTCTCATCCACAGCCACATCTCTGAATCGTCTCCTCAGTCATCTGTGTTGTGGATACAGCGACACTAACATAAGAATCAACGTCGGACAGGCTTACGTCAGCTAAACTGATACCTTCTTCGTTTCGCGATTCTGCAGAGAGTTCCTGCAACAGCAGTGCGCAAGTGCCAATCTCGTAACATTCAGTTAACGAGAACAAATGCATAGTAGCAAGATAAAAATAAACTTGCACAGAAATACAGGACCATCAGTTCAGTGACCGCTCCACCAGTAAAACAACCGGCTAAGTTAACTGTAGCCAAGATTCGGGATGCAAAGTGCAACGGTTGCTGGATGGAATATCAAGTGCGGTAATTATCAGACACGAAAATTTCACATAAAACATCACGTCATATAATCGTTTGCTGTCTGCTCCTACGGAAATAAAACAATTACCTCTCTCTCTCTCCAGCAAATCTAAATGTTTTGGAAGGTATATTTTTTCCCCCTTGGCACTACAGCCCCAGTGAGCCTAGGCCTACCTCCATGAACTTCTCCATTCACTTCGGTTTTTCTAGATCTTACACATTCGGTAGGACTCCTTGGGCGGGTGATCAGCTCGTCGCAAGGCCTCTACCTGTAGACAAACACAGAAAAACGCACACAAACCTCCATGCCCTGAATGGGATTCGAACCCACGGTCCCGGTTTCCAAGCGAGCGAAAACAGTACATGCCTTGTTTACTTTTACAGTCAAAATGGCACGCGGTAGATAATTTTTTTTTTCCTTGGCACTACAGCCCCAGTGGGCCTAGGCCTACCTCCATGAACTTCTCCGTTCACTTCGGTTTTTCTAGATCTTACACATTCGGTAGGACCCCTTGGGCGGGTGATCAGCTAGTCGCAAGGCCTCTACCTGTACGCAAACACAGAAAAACGCACACACACAAACTAAACATCCATGCCCTGAGTGGGATTCGAACCCACGATCCCGGTTTCCAAGCGAGCGAAGACAGTACATGCCTTAGACCGCTGGGCTACCGTGACCGTTCGGAAGGTATTTTTAGCAAGTAATAATAGGATTTAACTTTGACAATTTCAACAACTAATGACAATAACTAAGCCTATAACAAAGATACTCAATTTTATCAGTTACAACAAATTTACTTTACCCTTGTTGCCTATTGTGTGGAATATAAAATATTAATTTCAGATGGTACCGAAGTGTACGGAGAAGTTCGTGGAGACAGGCCTAGGCCCACTGGGGCTCTAGTGCCAAGTAAAAAAAAAATTCAGATGGGAAAGACAAGCGTTAAAATGGGAATAGACAGAAACTTGTTATTATGGCAGTGACGCGGAAGGTAAACAAGAGAAGCTAGAATGGGCTTGAAATATACATAGGCTGTCTGAAATCAAGAAAAGCGTACACAGTTTCACGAGGGAACCTTCCGACAGCTGTTATTTAAAACCCGAGAGAGAGAAAATTAAGCGTATAACTTCAAACGCTTTTTAGAGCTGCACGCAAATCTTGGAGATGACCCTACTGAACCCTTCGAACGCGTGTAGTGGAGGAGGAAACATTTGTTTCAGGGTCATATATTCGGGTTCCAATAACAGAGTCAGTAAATGGCTCATTACTTCACTTCTTTCAATTACCAGTACTTACTGCTCTAATCACTGGAAGTGGGGATTTATTTATATGAGTATTAAGATAAAGTTGTCCCTGTGCTTAATTAATTAAGCACTAAAGTCATGAAGGCGTCTAGGGAAGTGGATGTATAGATTCACAGTTTCTTGACCTCAGCACTAGCTGGAGTGGTCAGCTTAACGCACCGGCCACTTTACCCCCGGGGAAAGAGCCCCAGGTACCCATTGGACAGGAGGTTGTGTGAACCACAGAGCCAGTCTGAACAACGTGGAGAAGAGAAATTTCTGGATCCTACCAGGACTCGAACCCCGGCCCCTCGGTCATTCAGCCTGTAGCCAGTCGCTGGACCGACTCCGCTATCCAGGCTACATATTTATATGGTATTTTTATATTTAATTTAATTTAATTAAATCTATCTATATAATATGGATCTTAAAGAGACAGGATAAGGTGATGTGGACTGGATTGATCTGGCTCAGGATAGGGACCAGTGCAGGCTCTTGTGAACACGGTAATGAACCTTCGGTTTCCACAAAATGATTGGAAGTTCTTGAGTGACTGCACAGTTGGCGGCTTCTCACAAAGGACTCAGCTCCATGAAGTTAGTTAAACCTCACTGTCTTTACCAACGGAGATTTTCTTTTTATTTTGAATAATAGACGCATATACAAAACAGGCGTAGGCAGTTCCCATCCGGCCCTATCAATTGAGTTTCTCGGCTGAAGAAAGGAGAGCCACCTGCTGGTCCTTTGTTTTTGTTGTTGTTACATACGTTGACCACTAGAGGCGCCAACATCGATAACAACATTATTAACTCACGTGGGAATGTCACGCAGGTGAAAATCTTTTATTTGGAATATTTGTGCTGGAGCCGGATTGTTGCTGGCTCATCTGTGGTTGCCGTTACCTGCTCAGTGCTGGAAGATGTGCCGCGGAGTTCGCATTGCCGCAGTCAGCTGTTCTCTCCTGCTCGTCATGATGGCGGCATCTGCAGCAGGTAAAGTACTTGGCACAAGTTCGCTCTAACCTACTAAAGGACTACGTCAGAATCACGCAGATGCCCGCATCCGCGGCATGTAGTGGAGTATAATGAGAATGTTGGCGATGTTGTAAGATGAAAGTGCATCACTTTTAAATGAGATTCTAAAGATAAAAACTTTCTGCTTTCACCAGCGTTCCCTACATGAAAGTAAAGAGTTTTATTAAATTTGTTTTAGGGGGGAAAGGCATGGCGTATAGACATGTAGTCTACGCGAGACAGAATTTCAATTTAATTACTGTTTAAAAATTTTACCAGAAATATTTTTATTCAAATTTTGGATTTGATAAATATAAACATTTGGATCCTTGGATTACAGATAAAGTCACAATTGTTTAATAACGCCCTAAGCATACTTTTCTTACAAGGTTGCAGTTAGGTCACAGGAACGAAGTTTCAACCAAATCCAACAAAAGATCCGGAGTAGGAAGAAGCGACAAACAGACAGACTGACTCTGCGTGTCTTAATCTTTTGTTTACCATGAAGAATGCCTAGAATTTGTGTTTCAAGTAGCACCTTGCCTACTGAATTTTATCCCAGTGCTGTAAGAACGTGTACGTAGGGAAGATTCGCATTTGGAGGGCTACTCGTCTGCTGTCCAAAAAACATAAAAATTAGAATATACAAAACTATAATTTTGCCTACAGTTCTGCTGACACAGCTGTACGAAAATTTGTATCTTATCTTCGAATTTGAGGTCCTACAAGATCCACCAATAAAGAAAAACTTTCAGTGTTCATTCTGTAAAATGATTTGAACAGTTCTGTATCCTGATTAAATTCTTACGAAACAATATAAAGACCTGAGTTTAAATTGTCAGGTCTCGAAACGTTTATGTTACGTTGAAGGTCACTTGAAGGGGGGCATTCACATTTCTGTGACGTCAGAGCGGATACCGCGCCCTTTATCGTGAGCTGAGGTGACGAGCAGAAGGATGTGAACAGTATTCTCTTTTCTTGAAACGGAGGTCAACCTCTTTCCTGCAGAAGTTCAACTAAATCGAGCGCTACCTGACTGTTCAACGTCCATTTACTTTTAATGTGAATATAGCTGGAAGGCTTACAAAGCCGCCGAGGTTTCTTTTTTTTTTCTTAGTTTCTTGGAATAAGGCCACATGGTATGTCGACCATTAATTGGCCTATTGTACCAGCCCCGGATGATAGATGATGATGATGAATGTGGAGCAGTCGGTGGAATGAGAATTGGCAGAGGAAATCGAAATACTCCGAAAAAAAAACCTACCCCAGTGCCACTTTGGCCACCACAAATCCCATATGATCTGACCTGGGATCGAACCCGAGCCACAGCGATGAGGACGTCGCCGTAATACGCAATTATGTTGGACACTCGCTGTCGTTCGAATTATATTCAATATGACGTTTCGACAGTTGGCTCTATTCCCGTCTTCAGTTGGTTATCTGACAGATTCTCTCATTTGTTTTATTTTATATCATAGTGGGACGCTTTGAATATTGACCATTAGAACAAGAAGGCAAACTCAGCGGTACGTTGCAACGTGATCGATTTACGGTCGGGAGGAATTGTTTTAGTCTCAACACGGCGCCGGGACATTTGAATGAAGATTTCTACTCATTTTAGGATGATTCATGAGATAGGCTCAAATCATGACCGATTGCATTCCTATTCAGTTCAATTCGCCATTTACAATGATCTTCAAATTTCGTTCCACGGCATATAAGAGCGTCAATTGATCTAACGTCATTAAACTTGTCCACACCACCTCATGTTTAGAGATTATTTTGCTGAATAAACATTTGCTAAGTCACACACGCACAAGTACAAGCATATGCCTCTAGACCTCAGGAGTCCGACCCGCCGCGACTACTCCTGACAGCAGGCCACGCTGCCAGCTGCTAGTGGCACAGCGACATCATGACCTACATCCTTACTCGCAGGTGAAAGTACTTCTGGGCTGCCGGAATGGTCGCTGTTGCATGGCGACCTGCTGCACGGCATAGGTCGAAGCAACACCCGATACTGCATTAAGCATTAGTTAGCTCTAAGTGCTCCAAACTGAAACCCAGACTAATGAGTTGTATCAGGCCTTGGATAGCACTGACTTGTAAACTGAACTCAGAAGAATGACAATTTCCCTCGTTTTCTCTCCCGCTTTCTTTGGCGTTTCATACGCTCAGCTGTTATTGAAAGGATAACATATGGACATACCGCTTCAGTACCTTTCTGTGTTAAAACAGTGTGAGTCCGTGTGTGTGTGTGTGTGTGTCTCCATTCTTCAGATCCTTCATCTGAAAGAACGTTAAACTCTTGAACGATGGGTGTGAGCATGGAGAAAGCATGTATGTGAACTACTTTTCGGACTCATGACGACGACTGATGAAATATCACAGGTCTTAGCTTAATACATTTATATTTGGCCTGAAGGCAGACTGGAGAGTCTACACTACGCCATTAAGGCGTATGGGGGAGTGGATGTATAGATCCACATTTTCTTCACCTTATTTATTGCAAGCGAAAATTATACTTCTAATAAACAACAACAAAAAATGTACTTTATCCACTTTTAGGCTCCGTAATATATATATCTCATGTATGTCCTTAAAAAAAACGTTGCAGAAGTTCCAGATCTTTATCAGATACATCTTTTGTGTTGTATTACTTGTAGATTTTTCTTTACGATGAAAAAGTTTCGATAAAGTAACTGTAGTGTCATGTGATGTGGGAGTCGATTTGGACTGACGAGTCGGAAACTAATAACTCTGGCAACGCTTAGTGCAGAAGGCCAACAGTACGATAAATTTAAACGAAGTCCATATCGGAGACGACGCGTGCGGTTGGAAAGACTGAGGACAGACATGACCTTTCCATGATGCGTTCATTTTATTCTCTTTGTGCAAATAACTCTCAAAGGCGATCTGACACAACGAAGTCCTCTGTTGTATTGCTCCTACAACCATTCCTTCACTTTCATGTGCGATACCAACAACAGGGGCTCTCTTGGATTCAGCTATGACGCTTTCCAGAGGCATCGGCAAAGCGGCGATATGCAAATAGAATACAACAAACACGACAATGTTCCGGTCGTGATTACAAGGCAGACGCTGAAACCACGACACCACACATTTCACTAAAATCAGTGGAGCCTCCATGACTGGCATGCACCTCTGTGTATGAGTTTACAACAAGCAATGAATACAAGAGTTTAAATTTTAAAGCCATTTCTGTGGAATTCGTGAACAGCCCAGAGTAATAAAACGGTGCCTTTCGGCCACGTGACTCTACTGCATAGGATAGACTGTAAGAACTCTCGTGACACGGAATTCTTGCTCCACTTGAGCCCTAACGATGGTGTATATAAGCCGCCCACCATTCGCAAGATTTATGTCTTTATTTGCTTGATGCGACTGATGATAGGTCTTCATAAATTTGTCACCTCAATGAAGACAGGGCTCGAATTCCTCCGGTGAGACAAGTGGCGCCACAAGTTGCGGAAGCAAAAAACAACAAGATAACGGAATATGGCGCCAGGTGTTGGAATGTAGACCTGAGCAAGAACAGAACAACTGGGGCAAGTTGACAGTCTTTTGTTTTTAGCACTATGCCGTGTGCCTTAATTTACCTATTCGTTATGACGACCTGACAGTTTTCTTCCTTTCTGGTGGAACACATCTATACACAAGCCTTTCAGAATACAAGTTTCACATTTGTAAAGGGTCCTTTTGAAATTTTATTTGAAGATACAGAAAGTGTTTGTCATTCCTCTGTGTTATAAAGGTTTGCTTTCTTGCAATCATTCGTTTGCCTGTTATTAGCCTACAGTATAGATAAATGGGGGTTCGAAGGCTGGTATGAGTCTCACAGAGCACTGATGCCAATAGTTGCTCCTTACTAAGTTGTGAGAAATTCCCTCCTGCGAATCAGGCCCTGCCAGCAAATCTGAACTCCCTACCTCCACGAGGTGGCCCTGGGTGCGTTCCATGGTGAGAGCATGAGTGTAGCAGATGGGAGCAAGGCGAAGGCCGAGTGTCTGGCTCCCTAAAACGGGACTGTTTGGCTAAGGGAATAAACCCGGATAGAAAATCTGTGGTCCTCTAATAAGATGGGATTGGGGCTGATATCCTCATCCCGCAAAATATTTCAGAGTCGGGAATCCAAACAAGACAGTGCCTTGGAAACAGCCAGGGCCCAAACAGGGCAGTGCAAACATTATTATTATTATTATTATTATTATTATTATTATTATTATTATTATTAGTGGAGACATGCGGTAGCGTAGTTGGTTTACGTACTATGCTACAAGCCGGAAGGTCGCGGGTTCAAATCCCGATGAGGTTATTGCATTTTTTTCAATTGACCCAATCCTTCCAGCCGCGCTCCAATTAGGCTCTGTATTTGCCAGTATTCAGGAACAGGCGGAGTTAATTATTTTTAAATTTTAATTTATTCCCTTACCGGACACTGTGTATACCTAAACTTATCACAGTCGGCATCTACCCATTACCGTGATGATACTTATTTCAGGCCGTATCATTATCACGTACATTCTCTTTTGTTTAGAGAATTATACTCTGAAATCTAATACCCACTTACTTTTAGGTTAATACTGTCGATCACAGTGAACCCGTGGTCTAAGGCATAAGCTATCTTAGCCCGCTCGAACATTGGGGCCGTGGGTTCGAATCCCACTTGAGGCAAGTATGTTTTTCTGCGTTTATAACGTCTTTGCTTTGTTCTGTGGAGGTAGCGGTCTTGTGACGGGCTGATCCCCCGTCATGAGAAGCCGGGAAAGCGTAGTCGGTACAGCGACTGGCTGTGGGCTGGACAATCGAGGAGTCGGAGTTCGAGTCCCACTAGGATCAAGAGTTTTCTCTTCTCCAAGTCGGCCAGACCGGCTCTGGGGACCACCCAACCTATCCAGTGGGTACCGGGGGCTCTTTCCCCGGGGATAAAGCGGCTTGGGCGTGAAGCTGACCAATTACCTCCAGCTAGTGCAGGGGTCAAGATAATTTGGATCTATTCATCCACTCCCCCATACGCCTTCATGGCATGGTGCTTAATTACTGAAGCACAACCCTGGACAGCTTTACCTTTTACTACGCCACGAGAACGATATTTAATGCTCTGACATCTCATAAGTTCCATTATAGGCTATATAATGACGCTTTATCAACTGATAACGGTGCTTTAGTGTCGAATGAGGTTAGAGGATGATTAGGTAAGGTAAGATGAAAATGAGGAGGGTGAAAAAATCGTAGACATTTTCGTAAAAAGAAACATTTCCCCCAGTCGGTATGGCGATGGGTTACGAGATCGAAGGTCGGAGTTCGGTTTGCACCAGGGGAAATAGACTTCTTTCTACTCCACAGCGTCTAGACCGGCTCTGGGGCCGACCCGACCTCCTATCTAATGGGTACTGGGGGTCAATCTAAGGGGGTAAAGCGGCCTATGCTTGAAGCTGACCACTCGCCTCCATTTAGTACCGAGGTCAAGAACGGTGGAGCTATACCTCCATTCCCCCAGACGTCTTCAATGCGTGGGACAGCTTTACCTTTTACCTGTACCCAATATTCCTCTGGAATTCTTTAGTGAAACCACAAATGTGTCAAAATGAAGACGGGCAAACTCGAAGTGGCTTGAAAGATGACACGATGCCGTTTCTCTGCAGGGGACGACGTGTGGAAACAGGAGGTGGGATCCCAGATGGAGATCGGCGTATCAAACTCAGGGTACCGCAGGGTGCAGCTGAGGTGCGGGGCGGACTACATGCAGGTCGACGTGGAGACCGACCAGGAATTCGGCGGAGTCATATACACACGGGGTAGCTACCACAACAGGAAGCCACCGTGCTTCCTGGACCCACGAGCCGGCCGCAGCTTCTCTCTCAAGTTCCCTCTATCACAGTGCCAAACAAAGCTCGTGAGTAAACAACACTCCTTGATATGGGTCGTGTGAGGTCCGCGAGATACACACATCACACTTGAATCAGAAACACCCATTGGTACTGCTAGCGCAGACCTCTCCTACCCCTCAACCCCACCCAGGTTATCCCCGCGCTTGATTAACTAAGCACTGTGCCATGAAGACATGTGTTGGAGTGGAGGTACAGCTCCACCATTCTTGAACTGGGCACTAGAAGGAGGTGAGTGGTCAGCTTCACGCACCGTTTGCTTTACAACCGGGGAAAGAGCCCCCACCCCCGCCCGGTATCCATTGGATAGGGGGCTGGTTGTGCCCCAGAGTAGGTCTGGAAGCTGTGGAAAAGGGAAAAATCCATATTCCTTCTGCACCACTGTCACTCGGCCGTCCAGCCCGTCGCTATACTGACTGTGCTATCACCTTTCCTCCCCCACTCCAAAGTACCGAAGCAAATTCATGTCTGTTGATGTTAGTCTATTCGCAAAATAACCGAATTCATCATCATCATTGACAAATCAGCCTTTTTTTGAGCCACGGCCTTCCTTAAAAGATCCTGCCAAATGCTTTAGGTTTCCTCTTCTTTTGATTTCGCGATAGTAATTATTTACAGAGCAAGATCATCAGCCTTGCTTCCGAGCCCCAACCTGGAAGAAGGCGTATGAGGGAGTGGATGTATAGATCCACATTTTCTTGACCTCGGCACTAGCTGGACGTGAGTGGTTAACTTCATGCCCCGGCATCTTAATTTACAAATTTATTAATCACGACCAAAATGTCACCACTTGCGGGGAAGGCGAAACACTGAATGGAAGAGCAAGCATACGCAAAAAGTAAAAGTGTCTCTATGCTCAATTAAACACTACGCCATGAAGAAGTATGGAGGAGTGGCGGTATAGACCCATGTAGTCTTAAACTCAGCTCTACATAAAGGTCAGTGGTCAGCTTCAAACCCCGGCTGATTTACGCCAAAAGAAAAAGTCCCCATTTCCCATCGGATAGGAAATTGGGAGAGCCCAAGAACCGTTCTGGGAGACTTGGAAAGGAGACAAATCTTTTTCCTACCGGGATTCGTACTCCTAATCATTGGCCGTCCTTCCCGTAGCCAGCCTCTATACCAACTGCGCTATACCAGCTCGAACAGACATAAGTAACAATTCTAAAAGGAGTCCATAAGACACTGCTGAAAAGCTACACTCTGCTTCGAGAGGACAGCACCAAACACATACACGCTGCAATGTGTACGACGCGTTACCATATCGATTGCTCCTGCTCTCGAAAATGTTTACTACAAAACTCTCCGATAGATGGCATTCCAAGCACTATAGTGAAAATCAATTTATAAACGGAGAAAATGCAACAAATAAAAGGATTTTTAAACCAGATATTCGACTGTTATATATCAGCAGACAAGTCTAATTAGAATGACAACATTTTAATTTATCAGAAGTTAAACATTCTAAAATAACTTCATAGTGTTTATAAGAACTCACAGTCAGCATGGTTGCTAAGTTAATAATAATAACCCAAGAAACATAAATTGGTTTATCATCACATCATACACCCGTTGTTTAAAATAAATTTGATGTTTTAATCATCATCACAATTTTTGAGGGGGATGGTTTATATTATATATCTTTCCCCTACATATATTCTATTGTTAATATGTATAATTAAGCACTTATGCAAAACTGTTTAATGTACATAAAAAACTTATGTTATCCGAGATTTAACGGCGTGTAATCCATTAAAATCAACCGATGTTTCGGAGGAATATGTGGCTTCTATGTTCAGGACCGGAAAACGAACGTGACAGCAAATGTCATGCAGAGTTCGGCAATCTAAATATAAATTTTGAAGTTCATCGGAAATAAACGCATTGCGTGCCTTATCTGCAATTCTTGCTGGCCGTACTATCATGTGGAAGAACTGCAGGAAATGGAGCAGTTGACGTTGTTTATCTCTCTTCAGGACAGCGAGGTTTACTCTAATGTTGTGGTGGTTCAACACGACGACGAGCTCATCATGCCCGGTGATGCCGCCTTCACCCTGGAGTGCGACTTCAGCCGTCCCAGGGACATCACTGTCAGTGCGGATCTGGAGACCGGACGGTCAGTATATCCTTTGAGAAAGAGAACGCAAGAAGATGCTGGAGTGTTCTGACGATGGTGCATAACGCGCGGAATTGCTGGATTTTTGGACTTTGTCCATCGTTTGGTACTCTAAATAACCCTGAAGTACACAACGTTTCGGCAACTGGATCTGTTTCCATCCTCAGTTGAAGGGAAGGGAAGCACCTACTCTGTTGTGCCCGTTAGAAAGACCTGACCTCAATCACTGGATAATCCTTGTCAGTTAACTACAGCTATATAAACACCTGAGATCACGATCTGTCAACGGGAAATAACAGGAAAGTGTACAATAGAAATTTTGGTAATGTCTGTACAGACCTAAAACTAACATAGAAAAGGCTGTACTTATACTGACATACGTTGTCCAGTGATTGAAGTTATCTCTTTCTGACGGACTGAGGACGAAAACAGATCCAGTTTCCGAAACGCTGTGTTCTTTAGAATGCCGGACGATGGACAAAGTCCAAAAACCCAGTAATTCCGAGAGAGCAAGATTTTCCAAATGCGTTCTGTGCAGTTTCCCATACCTAGTTAGCCTTGATATTTACTGATTGCCGATTAAAGATGCAATCAATCTCAGCACACCGGAGGCATACTGTGAATTTATTTTAGGAGCGCATGTTAAGGCGAAACAGTAAGACCCCCCTCTCGTCAAGTCGGGCCGATGCATAACGCTTCAGTTCGCTTCAGGCAGTCGAGGCACAAAACAGCTGTCCAAAAGCAAAAGTTTAAAAGTTAGACACGCGCTATAAGACCACATAAATTAAACCGTACAACTTTTAACGCGTAAAGCAAATCCTAGAAAGTACAGTAAAAGTAAAACGTAAAGTCGTCCCTAGGCCGGTCACGGTAGCCGAGCGGTCTAAGGCATCTACTGTCTTCGCTCGCTTGGAAACCGGGATCTGCGTTCGAATCCCACTCAGGGCATGGATGTTTAGTTTGTGTGTGTGTGCGTGTCTCTGTGTTTGTGTACAGGCAGAGGCCTTGCGACGAGCTGATCACCCGCCCAAGGAGTCCTACCGAATGTGTAAGATCTAAAAAACCCGAAGTGAACGGAGAAGTTCATGGAGGTAGGCCTAGGCCCACTGGGGCTGTAGTGCCAAGGAAAAAAAAGTCGTCCCTGTGCTAACTAATTAAGCACCACGCCATAAAGACGTATTGGGGTGTTGAGCTATAGCTTCGCCATTGTTGACCTCGGCACTGAATGGAGGTGAGTGGTCAGCTTCACGCCCCGATCGCTTTACGCCCAGGGAAAGAGACCCCGGTACTCACTGGATAGAAGGCTAAGTGGGCCCAAGAATCGGTCTGGACGCTGTGGAGTAGAAAAAAATCTCTTGACACTCTCGGGAAACGAACCCCGACCGTCCAGCCAGTAATCCATCGTTATGTTGACTGGGGTACAGTAACTTACAATTTAAAGTAAAGCGAAATGGAAATATTATGACTGTAATTTTGCATCGGAGTACTAAATGAGGACCGCTTCTGTGGTCTAGTGGTCAAAGTTTCTGACTACAAATCCAGAGGTCCGGGTTCGATTCCGGCGCTTCCAGGTGTTCTGAGAAGTAGTGGGTCTCGAACGGGGTCCACTCAGCCTCGTGAGGATAATTGTAAAGCTACTTGAATGGAAACAGCGGCTCCGGTCTAGAAAACAAAAAATAACGGCCGTGGTGATTCGTTGCGCTGACCACGCGACATCCTCTATTCGCTAAAGTTGGCACTAACTTCGCTGACAAGCGGCGGTCGCTCAGTCGGTGTAGTTCGCGTGAGGACTACAGGCCACGGCGTTACTAAATGAGAACGAGCTCACTGGGCGTTCTTCCACAACTGACCCAAGAAATCTTTCGTCCGTAAATCTGTTGCGGTAATTTTCTCTAAAGAAATAAAGGTATAGCATTGCAGCTTGTAGCACAGACCCACATAAAATCAAGTGAATATAGTCCTACAGTATTCAAACGATGTTTAGATAATCGGGCTGAAGGCTGGAGAACGCTTCCAACAAAACTTATTATTAATCATGAAAACAGATGATGGCCACACGGGAAGTTACGGGTGGTCACATGTGTCCATGCTGCCACTAGTCTAGAAGACTCGCCGTGTTACACAAAAGTTACCTCGTGTTACTTTAAATATTCACCGTGTGGATAGACGTTTCAAATTAACGTAAAGACTTGCTTAAAGGGACCGGAAAGATGATGCATATATATATATATGAACACGCGGTACGACGTGTCTTCGAGAGTCCAACTGTCCGTGAACTAAACATTTCTGAGCTGTGGTTTCATCATTTTCAGGCCCGCAGTGAGTTCCCGGATTAGCATCACTGATCCCGATCCTGCGGGAAAGGAACTGCCACGTCACAGACGGTCCACAGTCTCCAGCGAATCAGAAGCCGTCTCCTTCAGTCCTGATGACGTCAGACCGAGAAAAAGGAGAACTGAGCCGAGTAAGGACGAACTCTGATGCCCGATGCTTTCATAAAAATGTCTTCCCGCCTCTGTTTGTTAAACGATAGTGTTCAGAAATTCAAAATTGCATTTTTCATACAAATCCGGCTTTAAAGAGATAGCTTTTACTTTTTCTTTCTGTCATAGGCTTGTCTATGCTTCATAAATTGTACTCTTCTCCAAGTATAATCAGAATCATCAAGTCAAGGAGAATGAAATTGGCGTGGAATGTAGCACGAATGAGGGAAAAGAGGAATGCATATAGGATAATGGTGGGAAAGCCAGAAGGAAAGAGACCACTGGGAAGACCAAGGCGTAGGTGGGTGGACAATGTTAAAATGGATCTTAGAGAGATAGAATGGGATAGAATGAATTGGATTGATCTAGCTCAGGATAGGGACCAGTGGAGGGTTCTTGTGAACACGGCAATGAACCTTCGGGTTCCATAAAATTCTGGGAGAGTTCTTGAGTAGCTGCACAATTGGCGGCTTCTCAAGAAGGGCTCAGCTCCATGAGTGAGTCATAGGCTTTTCTGCAAAGCCTGCTTTTGTTTTGTTTTGCTAAATCACTGTTTTCTGACGCGTTAGGTACGGAACGCAATTAAAGTTATCAAAATAAGCTTTAAAACCAGATATTAAATTATATATGTAAAAAATGACCAGAATTTAAACCGCGATGTTAGATCAGAAGATCCGTGTTATAACACTCTGGTTTGTACACAACATGGAGTGATCGTGCAATTGCCTTTTCCACTTCGAGGCATTCCATTGGCATTCACAGGCTTATGAAATTTATTCAAAGTACGAAATATGGGCCTGACTGTCTGATTGCTTGGTCACTGCAGTTGTATGTCAATTTCTATCCAACGACTTTGAGTATCTAAATTCCCTTCCTAGTCCCTCCGGGAAAGCCGCGCCATAGCTCAAGCGGTTAATCTCTGGCTTCCCACCTCGGCGGCCCGGGTTCGATCCCGGGTCTGGTAAAGTGGGATTTGTGGTGGACAAAGTGGCGCTGGGGCAGGTTTTCTCAGACTTCAGTTTCCCCTACCAATCTTGATTCCACCAAATTCTCCATCGTCATAATCACCCGGGGCAGGTACAATAGGCCAATCAGTGGCCGCCGTGCTTAGCGGACCCAGCTGGATTGCCCCCCCTACTAGCAAATTAAAGAAAAAAAAGTACATACACTGTAAAACAGAGATTTTCTGTGGTCTTGAAATGATGATGCCAATCACAATTCAACTTAACCTAGGAGTAGTTACGCATCGTAATGTAAATATACCAGAAAACAGCGAATAACGTCTTGTATGATCTTTGTATGTGTGATGTTTTGTAAGAAATATTGTTGTTGTGAGAATAAAGTTAATAAAGTTGCCCGTTCCTTGTCAGATAGTAACGATAATTGTTTACAGATCGTGCGAAGAGGTGAGTCACGGCCCTACTGATCAACATGGCGCAGCGGCGCAACATCTGTGATATCACGTCGTAACTATTCTATTTATAATTTATGTATAGACCATCATATTTAAACACAATAAATTCGCGATCTAAGCTTCATGGTGAAATATTTGTCTCAGTCTCCGCATCCTATTGCTTGTAATTTATTGTATTTATATTGCAAATGCTGTCTTTCCAAGGCACATGCAGAAAATCCTATGAAACAATCATTACCGATGAAATACGAACCGTTGTCTGTCCAAGGTCTCTGTGTTTTAGGATGCTTGAAACATCTTCATTCGATATCAAATAGACACTGAAACGACTGGAAATCAACTTCATTCGATAAATATGCCCAGTTAACGAATATTTTATCATTACCATTTTCATTTCTCACATTTCAGCAGAGACAATATTCATCCACCTACAAATAATATTAAAATATGTATATCTGTATTCATGTAAGCATTGTGCCCCTTCCAGTCTGAGCAGTCCATTAGTGCGTCACGTGACACCTGCATGTCAGGCAAAGTTAGTTCGTGTAACTGTTTTCAAACATTAGCTATATATATATATATATATATATATCCTGTTAGTTGTAGATTGTCTCTGATGTTTTGGGTTCTATTTTTACTGTAAGAAAGTACTGGATTCTTTGGCTACAGATACAGAGGTCCATGGTTCGATTCCCGGCGCTACCAGATTTTCTGAGAGGTAGTGGGTCTGGAACGGGGTCCACTCAGCCTCGTGAGGATAATTGAGGATCTACGCCAAAGAAATAGCGGCTCCGGTCGAGAAACCCGAAATTAACGGCCGTGGGGATTCGTTGCGCTGACCACGCGATATGCTATATCCGCTAAAGTTGGCACTAACTTCGCCGACAAGGCCGCGCCATAGCTCAAGCTGTTAGCCGCTGGCTTCCCACCGCGGCGGCCTGGGTTCGATCGCGGGTCTGGTCAAGTGGGATTTTTGGTGGACAAAGTGGCGCTGGGGCAGGTTTTCTCCAAGTACTTCGGTTTCCCCTACCAATCTTCCTTCCACCAATTGCTCCACAATCACCCTCACCTATCATCTGGGGCTGGTACAATAGGCCAGATGTGGCCGCAGTACAAGGGACTTACTCCCACCCCACTAGCAAAAAATAAATAAAAAAAAGTTCTGAAATATTCAAGGAGTTTCTGTCACTGAACATAATTGGAAGGCTTATCGACAGAGTTCATTCAATGTATAGAAAACAGAATGGAAGTAAACTCGGCAAGATCTTAAATCTGGTTGTATGCCTAACTTGTTTGTGGTGTTCAAGTACTCTACGGGCAAAGAGGTCATTTCCTCATTAGCTGCTACGGGTCAGTGACGCTTCTATTTGCTCTGCGTCACAGTACTTGCAAATAAGAAGCAAACATTGCAACAGCTGTGTAACAATCTACGTACGGCCTGACGGCGGTAAAGTTTCACACTGCTACCTTCTGGATTATGACACCGTATATTTTGGCAAGTTGGTACTAAATTCGCTAAACTCACCGCCTCTGTGGTCTAGTGGTCAGAGTTCGATTCCCGTCGCTACCAGATTTTCTGAGAAGTAGTGGGTCTGAAACGGGGCCCACTCAGCCTCGTGAGGATAATTGAGGAGCTATTTCAAGGAAACAGCGACTCCGGTCTAGAAAACCGAAATTAAAGGCCGTGGGGATCCGTTGCGTTGACTATGCGACACTATCTATCTGCTAAAGTCGGCACTAACTTCGCTGACATGCGGCGGTCTCTCGGTCGGTATAGTTCGCTTGCGGAATAGGAGTTTTTTTTTTTGGGGGGGGGTTCAAAACCTTCATATTCAGAATGGCAGACGGAGCCTATATGTCTGTCCAAAACGTTGGTGCCCAGAAGACCCCCAATGAGCACCAGCTCATGTAAGTAATCCGTGGTACCGATAGCCCAAATAATGCAGAAAGAAAGTTCAGGAGAAGTGGGGGAAGAAGAAAGTTTCACCATGCTCATAACTTTTATCGTGGAGGTCGAAGGTTGAAGTAAAACTTCCTGAAGTTCTGACGGAAACACCAGTGCGATAAGCAATTGAAGTTGTGCGTTTCTCCAGCTGCCGAGCGAACAGACGTTCCGAATTGACTCATGGGAAAACGAAACCGGGTTCAAGGATTGCTGATAACATGATTACTGAACAATGTTAGTTTCTCAAGGACTTCGCTCCATGAAGTCGTCTGAACTTTAATTTAATCACTGTTCAAGGGCCGCGCCATAGCTCAAGCGGTTAGTCGCTGGCTTCCCACCGCGGCGGCCCGGGTTCGATTCCGGGTATGGTCATGTGGGATTTGTGGTGGACAAAGGGGGACTGGGGCAGGTTTTCTCCGAGTACTTCGGTTTCCCCTGCCAATCTTCATTCCACCAATTGCTCCACAATCACCTTCACCTATCATCTGGGGCTGGTACAATAGGCCAGAAGTGGCCGCAGTACAAGGGACTTAGTCCCACCCCACTAGCAATAAAAAAAAGAGTCAGTGTTCAGACACCCCAGGCCTTCTTTTGTACGGTAGGGCACATTTGTCGTGTTGTCTGTAATTCTATTCCTGTTTGTATCGCGTAATTTGTTCATATGCATAGGCCTACTATGTGCATGTACATGTATGTATGTGTGTTTCTCATTGTTTTCCTTTGTGTTCTCTTTAGTACTTATCCATACTTTGCTTTTGTTCCCGCTGACGAGCTTTACGCGTTACTTCTGCAGTAGGACTTTTATCATCACTGTTAAAAATAAGTGAGCATGAAATGGAAGCAAAATTAAATATTCCGCTTAAACACTCGAAAGGTGAAGTCTATCTATTTGCTATTTCTTCAGAATGCTCCTTGAAAATATTTCTGACCATCGGAGGAAGGTATGGCAGTGTGAAACTCACTATCTCAATAGACACAGCTGAATACAAGCCTGCTAAATGGCTGAGATATGTCGACGACACGTTTGTGATATGGCCATATGGACCGAAAAAGCTACAGGAATTTCTTCAACATATTAACAACATCAGGCCTACCATCAAATTCACTATGGAAGTTGAAGTTAACAATGCACTTCCATTCTTGGAAGTTTTGGTTATGAAACCGGGTCCAAAACTGACCACCAAAGTGTACCGAAAGCCTACCCATATCGGTCGTTATCTTCGCTTCAAGTCCAATCACCCACACCACGTAAAAATGGGAGTTGTTCATAGTTTGGTCAACAAAGCGAAGGTCATATGTCAAAATCAGAAACGTAAGACATGACCTGATGCTCAGTGAATATCCTAAAGAATTCGTCTACTCTGTATTGAAGCCATTGACAAGAAATCATCCCCCTTCAGACAGAACATACCGGGGCACTGTAGTCATTCCGTATGTCAAGGGTAACGCCGAGAAATTCAGACGCATCGGAAACCGTTTTCAGCTTAGAACAATTTTTAAACCGAACATACGCTCCGGGGGGGGGGCCATTAATTAAAACTGCACCCGTTAGAGATGCCCAGAAAACAAAACAGTGCGTGTATAGCATCCATTGTGACTACGGCAGATGTTACATTGGTGAAACTAGCAGACCACTAGAAGTACGCATTAAGGAGCACAAATATAATATGACAGAGAGTTTGCTGGAAAAATCTAAATTGGCCCAACATGCATATGAAGAAGACCACAAAATTCGTTGGAATGAAGCAAAGGTTTAGCAGATCGAACTCAACGCCACATACAGGAAATACAAGGAATCAGCCCACATGTCTCTGCTGGACCATCCGATCAGTCAACTCAGTGTGGATATCGCTCCCATCTGGACCCTCTCATCACAGCAGAAGTCAAGAGACTACAGCGCCGTCAAGTGTAGTTGGTAACTCTTTGTTTCATGTGTTGGTACCACAAGGAGTATTGCTTCTCTCCAGGTATGATTTCATTCAAGATACTTCTCTGGTGCAAGGCCTCCTATGTGTGTAGCTTCATTATTTCTTAGCTCTCACAGATGGTTTGTGTTGTGCTTGTTTTATGAACCCCTTCTAAAACTGGCATAGTTGTCCGGAGATAGCGGCTAACTCTATCTATTAGACCCAACTGAGTAGGTTTTACTTCAAGACGGGGACATAATCCAGTCCCCGAAGCGTTGTGTTTTTTAAAAGAAACAGGACGGTTTTTTTAAGAACAGACAAGATGACGGATAATGTCTAACAACATATTAATAGTAACAATTTACCATTGTCACAAACTTTTAGATCTCATTTTGTTACTGCCGTAAAAATAAAGCTATCCCTGTACCAGGCCGTGGAGGCCCATAGGGTTGAGAGAAGTTGAGGGTCCCACATTATCTAGACAATCGGCTCAAAGATGGCGGTAAGGTTGCTGGCCGCGCTTCACTCCCCAGGAAAATTATTTAATTAATTCCTGGTACTCATTTCTGTTAGAGGCTGAGTCGACCCCAGGGCCATAGTGCAGCTGGAAGGATTAGGTCAATTGAAAAAATCCAATGACCTGATCGGGACTTGAACCCGTGACCTTCCGGCTTGTATCACAGTGCTTCAACCAACTACGCTACCTCGTGCCCCGGTTAATGTTGTATATGGATGTAATTACTGTGTATTCTAAAAACCAGTCTTTAATGTTGAAGCAGATGGTAAATATAGCAACCACTGTGCTTTAAATTATTAACGAAGATGTGTAGAGTGAAAACACACCAGGAGTAGCAAGCATCCAGCATAGGAGTTTAGGTTACGGCGTTACAAACACACTTCGAAACGTAACTTTGTCTCTTATTAACATAAATTCCATATGAGAACGTTTATCGCTTTCAATAACCTAACTTAAGTGTTAAATCGAACAGTTTCGAAAGCGATGTACGCGAACCGGAACTAAGCATCTTGACCATGCCACTGTTGCAGCCAGTATGCCACAGATACACTTAAACTCGCTTGATTTTTGACGGGTTTCCCAATAAACAAGATGGCGTAAGAGGGCAGGTCAAACTATCACGTCACAGGATTGTTTCATGTTAATTAATACATCAACTGGCACTTATAGGCTGTGCTGTCTTGCGAGGCGTCTGTCTGTTTCAAGCTGTCGCCATGGCTACTCTGAAGTTCAAGGATCCTTCACCTTATGTCAAGGGTCCGCAAGGGGCGCCACCAGTCGACTACTTGTATGCCAGGTGAGTCAAATTATGATTCCATATCTTAATTTGTGCTTATCGTATTTAATTAACTACTCATTATTTTTCAATCGTGGAAGTAGTACCCTTTGATGCTTGATAAGAAGGGTTCAAAACAAAAGTCATGACAGAGAGCACAAGGCGAGCAGAAGCAATGTTATCAACGAGATGTCACTATTCCTGGTTTAAGGCCTATAAATTTCACAGTATGAAAAATGTGCTTAAGTTTTAACACTGTTCGAAAAGCGAAAGAAACGTGTGTCTGTGTACACGTGCCTCTTGTGACAGAATTTGATTCAAGACCTTATTACCAAACACAAATAATAATACATTCATTAACACGGTGTCCATATTTTCAGTATGAAAAACGAAGTATAAAATATAAGGGCCCTTTTTTTTAGAAGTTTAGTAACGATGTTTATTACATGTTATTAAAATAAAATAAATTTTTCCCTGTGCTTAACTAATTAAGCACTAAAGCCATGAAGACTTATGGGGGAGTGGATATATAGATCCACATTTACTTGACCTCGGCACTAGTTGGAGGTGGATGGTCAGCTTCACGCCCCCGCCGCTTTACCCCCCGGTAAAGCTCCCGGTACCCATTGGATAGGAGGTTGGGTGGGTCCCACAGCCGGTCTGTACGAAATGGAGAAGTGAAAATTCTTGCTCCCACCGGGACTCGAACTCAAACCACTTGGTCCTCCAGCCCGTAGTCAGTCGCTATACAGACTACGCTATTCCGGCTCATTTATTACATGTTATTACTTACATTAATAAATTTATGTAATTGTCTTATCTAATGAAACTTTTCTGGTCTCCAACACTTCTTAAGCACCCCCAGTTTAATTTCTTGAATTCGATACAATTTTTAGCTTCTGTAGTCATATTTTACTTCTGTAGCAACTGATAATCCTCCACAAAACAGTGAACTCTATATGGCTCTTTGCTTCCCATTCGATGCTCTTTTCACTTAAAGTTGAGTGACTTCATTTCTTACATACCGATCAACTTCGCATGACCCGTGACTCCTCGAGATATGATTAACATGTCTGTCTCAGCTATGATTCGTATTACTTTAAGCCACTCAGAATTACTGAGTTCTTGGACTTCATCCATCGTCCGGTATTCTAGGAAACCGAAAACACGACGTTTCGGAATCTGGATCTGTTCCGTCTTCAAGTGTGGGGGGGAAACTCTTTCTAAAGGACCCAACCGAGGAGTTGTCCTCCCACCCCTTCACCTGAGAACGGAAACAGATCGAGTTTCCGAAACTTCGCGTTTTTTTTTTATAGAATACCGGACGATGGACAAGGCCCCAAAACCCAGTAACTCCGAGTGTTATACACCATCGTCAGAACCCTTTAAGTCAGTTTAATACATTTCAGCATAATTTTTGGAGTGAGAAATTGAACGAACAAGGAGCGGAAATTGTCAAGATCTAAATGAAAGTTATTCACCCGGAAAGGCGGTGGAATCTGCTGATATCTTCAGGGTTCGTAGTTATCAACATTTGAGGGGAAGCCGCCGCCTCCATCCTCAGCTACAACAGACACAAGAACATAAACCACTTGGGTGTATGTCTGTTGCAGGTACTTGGAAAATATAAAAATGACATCCAAGGAAGGAAATTCACAAGGAAAGATCCAAATGGCCCTGTTTGGAGCTGGAAGGGCAGGTCAGTAACCTTACGAAATATTCTACTTTTCTCGATAATTCGAAAAGTCCCGAACGTTCCAATGTTGTCTTAGGACTAATTCTAACCTAAGGATGTTCAGCTACATAGTAGCGAGTAGGTGTGGACTTTCGTAAATAATCGTCCATTTCACGATACAATATAGTCTGTAGGTTTCTCATTCTGTATTTGCTCCATTATCTTCCGGTTCTGTTCATTTTTGCCTGTCTCAATAACTGTGTGCATGCGATGTGACACACCCTTATACGATTCGTAGTGTCAAGTGTGCAGTGCAAAGAAAACACTTCAGAACACAAATGCAGAAAACCAAACGCTGTACAGTGATGTTAAAACAAACGTTTCGATCGAGATGTATACGTCATCACGAGCAGCGCTTAATGGCGGTTTGATAGAGAACGATTTGTGGCATATTTAAGGTATCATTGTCTCTGTATCTTCTGGAAAGTCTGATTAAGACATTAGACTTCTTCTTCTTCTCCTTCTTCTTAAGGCTCGACAGCTTCATTTCTTGAACGCTTTGGCCTACTCAACAATTTCCTTCCAACTACTTCTGTCTTGTGTGCAAGTTATCCAGTTATAAATTCCTATATCCTTTAGGTCTTCCCTTACGTCACCTTTCCATCTAATCTTAGGTCGGCCTCTCTTTCTTGTGGCGTTTGGCTGCCAGTCATATATTCTTTTAACTGTTCGTGCAGCCTCCATCCTTGAGATGTGTCCCAGCCAACTTTTTCTTCGGGCTCTGATGGAGTTAACTATGTTCCTTCCTCTATTAGATTACCTAGTTTTTCATTTGTTTTAATTCTCCATGAGCCATCGTGGTTTCTTGATGGTCCGAAAATGTTTCTTAGATAAAAGACTTTTTTATTGCTAGTGGGGTGGGACTAAGTCCCTTGTACTGCGGCCACTTCTGGCCTATTGTACCAGCCCCAGATGATAAGTGAGGGTGATTGTGGAGCAATTGGTGGAATGAAGATTGGCAGGGCAAACCGAAGTACGCGGTGAAAACCTGCCCCAGCGCCACTTTGTCCACCACAAATCCCACTTGACCAGACCTGAGATCGAACCCGGGCCACCGCGGTGGGAAGCCAGTGACTAACCGCTTGAGCTATGGCGCGGCCCTGAAAAAGACATTAGGTAGTCTCTGTTTATAGGGGGCGATGACAGCTGTTATCTCCAGAATAACACTCAGAAATTACATCGTGAAGCTCAACTTTCTCAGATGTCCCTAACATTTGATGCCTCGTGAGCCTGGTAACGTCTCCGACAAGTTCAAATCTGCGAGGTTGTCGCAATGTGTTGCAGGGTCAATCCACCTGAGTAGCATGACGCAGAACCCACGCGTAACAGTGAGGTACGTGGTGGATGATGACCAGAGCAAGTGGATTGCCATCAAGAGTTACTGGCATCTCGACAACTCAGAGTTCCTGCTCAGCAAGGACTCGAATCGGGTGTTTCAGGACGCAGGGTCAGTCTCCAGAACAGGGAACAAACTGTAGGACACTTTAGTGTAGCATCTTCACAACATGAGACGTATTACACTCTTACAAACAGCTCAATAGGTTAGCAAGGAACTAGTTCAAATTGTAAACAAATTGGGAAACTTTCAATTGATTTTAAAGTTGCGTTAAATTGCCTTGATCACCAGTAAAGAATGAGTAATGTTTGTGGTAGTTTCTATGACATACAGATTAGAGATTTCAGATAAAATTATGTAAATCATCTGTAGACGTCATACTTCACTTTAAGTGCGCACAGATCGTGAAATTTTCTAGAACAGTGGCTGTTTTGTCGCCATGAACTCCATATTTGGACGGAATTTTTTGCATCATCAGCATGGATTTTTACGCAATAGAAAAACTACCGATTAAATGCTTTTGCACTCATCAGAATTAGAGTAAATGAGGGTACAATGATACAGTACAGAACCTGTTGTACTGTATTGTATTTAGAGAGGGTGGGTTTCCCCATGCACTTAGACCAACTGTTGGTCCATTGTGCGTCCCCCTATGATATTCTACCAGTCTCTATACCCTACCGGTTCTGGTACGTGCCATCAGTCCCGACTCAGCCAGCGAGTTCGGCCTCTCGGTATCTCGATGCTTCCCCATCTACCAGAGGCGTTAGAGACTACTGTTTGGCGGGAAATGTCCTGAATTTGGCTCAGTGGTCCCCTTGGGACATGAGGTTCTTTTACGTGCCGTAAAGCTACGACACGGGACCCACGGCTTAAAGTCCCTCCCGGAGGACTTGTTCCCTGAATTTTTCCACCCTTAAATATTCCACGACCTCCTGACCTTGAGTCAGGAGGTGGGAAAGTTACCCATAGACTACGGAGGCCGCTTACAGAACCTGTTAGTAGATTTCAATGATTTCAATGATTTAGCTATGTTGGACGTATGATACAGTATTCTCGCTCAGTTTGGTATACTCATGAGATTGGTTATGCTAATTAAATATATTTAAGTGAAACTTATAGTAAATTATATATGAGTAAAGGTTTGTTTGATACATTTCCTATGCAGAATGGTATCGAATAGGAAGATGGATTACCGTTAGTGTTTTTCAATATTGGTTTAGAACAGGGCATAAAGACGGTTCAAGAAAAACATGAGGGATAGAAACTGAACAGTACATATTTGTTTCTGGTCCATGCTGATGACGTTATTGACTACGGGGTAAGATGAATGCCACAAAGAATAAGACAGAAACCCTAATAAGGAAGATAATCTAGTAAAAATTAAAAAGAACCAAGTAAATATCAATGTCTCATCACCAGAAAGCAAGGCAAAAGGATAACATAAAGACAGCTGGCAGATTATTTGTAAATGTGGCAATGTTCAGATATTTGATAATGATAAGAAATCAAAACTGCGTTCATGAAGAAATGAATGGCATGTCAAATTCGATGAACACATGCTACCAGTGAGTTCAGAATTTTCTGTCGCCTCGTTTACTATTTAAAAGTTCAAGGATTAAAATAGACAAAACTGTAATTTAATTTTGCCTGCATTCTGCATGGGTCTGAAACTTTGTCTTTCACATTAAGGAAGGAAATGAAAGTAAGGACGTTTGAGGACAGAGTTTTCAGGGGAATGAAGTAACAGGAGGCTGTAAAATATTTCGCTATGAAGAGCATCAAACATTTCGGATGAGATGGGAGGGGAATGTAACACGCATAGGAGTGAGTGAAGAGAAGTGCATACAAGACTTTTATATGAAGAACTGGAGGAAAAAAGGCCGTTAGGAAGGCTCAAACTTCAGTGCAAGGGCAATATTAGAATGGACCATAAAGAAATAGGATGAGATAATGTGGTTGAGGATAAGGGCCAGTGACGGGCTTTTGTGAACATGGTAATAATTTCAGGTGCAAAAAAATTCTGGGCATTTCGTGGGTAACAGAACAGCTATTAGCCTCTAAAGAAGTATTCATTTCCGTGGAGTTTGCCAATTGGTTAGTTATTCAGTAACTGTTCAGTAGTGAACCGAAAAGTATACAGATGCAAAACAGAGGAACAGACGCTTATCTGAGTTGTGACATCGTGTAGTTTGGTAGAGGATACCTACGTGTTGCCTCAATTCGGACCCAGAACAAAGCATGGGAGCCTCAGACCTCAGTCTTGTTCATGTTTAGACCCCTGTCAGATGTGAAGCTGTGGGTGTTGGGACATGGAGAGACAGGACTCCTCCATCTCTCACACTTCCAACATTTCTGACATTTGTATAAGGAAAGAGGCGGCCGTGACCTGATCAGCATCCGGGCCCAGTTGAGTGAGTTAAGTGTATTGTCACTTTAGAGTGCAGGCTGTGGTGGTGGCGTCACCAACAGTGTGCCACGAAGAGACCATCCGGGGTGCCCTGCTCAGTGGGAAGCACATCTTCTGCGAGAAGCCGGTAGCGCAAGACAGCGAGAGCGCCGAACGCTGTTACCAGTTAGCGGCCCGCTGCGGAAAGACTCTCTTCTGCGCCTTCAACAGGTATAGCACAGTTCTGCTGATTTCACAGCCGAACCTTGCCTTTCGGAGCATGCTTTAAGGGACAGAGCAGAACGAAAGTTTCGGAATCTCAGTCTCTTGATCCGTGTATGAAGAAGATAATAATCCTCACAGATATTGCACAGTTTTGCGAAATTAATCATTATTTATTTCTCTTCAAATCTTAACACCCACGCCTTTGAATGTCGTATTGCAATCACTGCAGCTCTATGAGAGTGTCTAGGAATATTTGAGTATTCATTTCTACCACAAGAAAGGACAGAAGCTGGAAGACGCGCAGGAAAGAAATAATTGCATTTAATTCCTACTTTTTTATATATTTTATTTCTATTTATGTAGTTCAGAAGTCCATCGCCCCCTTGGAATCGGCTTATTCACGATTGCTTGAAAATTACAGTGCTAATTGGTCCATTATATTGAGAATCGATATGAGATTACCCCAACTTGACACCGTTTTTAATTGTGTGTCGTCAACAATGCATATATGGCAGCCATGACATTTTATGGAGTGAGAATACTAGCGCCATCGAATTTTTTTTTTTTTTTAGAATCGTTATACATTTAGATCACTGGAAAATGTAGAATTTTAATATGGAATATTTCTTTTCAGAAAGACTGGAAATAACAACACGGTCTAACTATAATAACCGAATTATTATTATAAGTTTCCATGTCGGCATGATATATATCGTGTTTCGATTTGCTGCTTTGAGGTACACATAAAACCATAAAATACCGAAGAAGCTGAACGTGTTCAAGTTCGAATTACTTTCACACGCGTTGTCTCCTGGATTGTTCGCAGTAGAAAAAGACGTTTTAGGTCACAGAAGTTAATTTTAAGGACTAAATTACGCATAAGGTGTAACATTCCTAAAACTCTAAAATGTAATCTTTAGGAATCTTACGATTCACAACGACAACAACAAAAGCGTTTACTTTAAATACACTCTGAACCGTCTGCCTCTGTACCTTATCACGTAACCCGCCTACTGAAATGCCTGAAGAACTCTACATGACCTTGAGATAACGCGCACAAAACAAAACTAAGCACTTCCAGAAATTATACG